ATGGTTTAGTGAACTGTGAATCTTAGTGCTGCAAATTAAAGCAAATTGAAGATCTGTCAGGCAGATACCTCATGTAGAGATCATTTTTATATCTATTTAAATAGCAATGAAGGCATTCTCCTTCTGTATCATGATGCATTTCATAGAAAATTAATATCTGTCTTGCAGACATGCTGTCATACTCTTTCTGATGTTTTCACTCTTGTTAAGTATTGGAATAGTAGAAAATGGAACCTCATCTTAGGGGAATGTGAGGTACTTCATGATAGCACATCAATACATCAGACACTTTCCGAATTCAAAAAAGCTACTTAAATAAAATTAATAATAATGTTTAAATTTTCATTAATAATATATACAGACCTAGGCTATTCCACTCCATCTGACCTCAATGATGAATTCAGATACATTTAACAATGAACTTTGCCTTATCATGTATCATACTGTAGTGAACAGCAGCTAGAAGATGTCTCATGAAAATTAAAAATAAAAAGTAAGTCTTTTAGAAACTATTTTTGCCTAAGGCTACTTAATAGTCTGAGACTTACCCAGCTTTTGCGCGGTCTGAGCAGTACAAAGAGTGCTACAGACCCAGATATTTTGATCAGTAAGGGCTGAAGAGATGCAGAACTTTTTCATTCTTTTCCAATGTCAAAAAAAAACCTTCTTTCTTTCTTTTGTATGGCTTTGGCTTCTTTGTCAGTTTCTTTCCCCAAGAGAATTTTGTTGAAAAATGTGTGCCTATAGTTAAGCTCCCCTGAAGTTAGTTTTGTAACATTTGAACTTCTAGATCACCTTGGGGCAGGTTTTTCAAAGTATTTAGATTGTGAAAACTGCAGATGAAAGCATAGTGGACTTTCAAAAGCACTTAAACAGATGATGCACTTAGCTTCCATGTAAATTAATTAGCTGGATTGAACAAGTTCCCTTTGGCACTTTTGAAAATTCCACTGCTACATAAAAAAATTCAATTTTCAAAAGAGGCTGAGCATCCAGGAACTCCGTTTAATGTTTATGACTAGTGCAAGTTTTCAGCAGTTCTGAAAATTATATGCTATCCCTGAGTCTACATTCCCAAGTGATCCTGCTTTGTTTTCTTATTTCTTAACAGTTTCTACAATCATTTATTGTGAAAGTTAGTCTCAAAGAAGAAGTTGCATCCATAGTGCTATGACCTCAGGGTAGAAAAATAATGACACAAGTGAATATTCTGCATGGGTTTGAGAAGCTGGGTCCTTTGGTATATACATTCAGTGACTGAAAAAACTGATAGAGCTTTAAGACCATTGTTCTAATTATGTCTTGTACTGGATTTCCTTATTGCATTCGTAGTATCCAAAATGATAGCTCAAATACATTACAGGCAAAGTCTGCTGCAGGTTAGGTGTAGGTGGGAATGAACCAGATGACCAGAAGTAACATGACTTTTCAGTCTTTAATTGCTGCATATACAGAAACCCTTAGCAGACCTGTTCAGATATAAGAAAAGCAAGCAGGGCTCACTCTGAGGTCTAGTTTCCCCTGTGTCTATTACAGTAGTGTCTAAGTAGCAGTCTGAGGGTTTATGCACATTAGCATTTTGATTTCCATCAATAGTCTGCTTTTGAAATTAATCTGATAATTATTCCCACTTACCACACTTGCTCATTGTGGAGTGGGTCTCGGGCCATGTGAACTGGATTGCTTTTGGCTAAAATGAAAACACAAAATGCTTTCCAGAAGGACATCTGATCTTCTTTAATCATTCCTGAGTCTTCAGGCCACCAAACTGCAGCAAAATTAGTTCAATATAAATTTCCTTCCTGGAATTTAATTTCAAATACTGACCAATGTGAAATCAAGTCCTCAGAGCTAACAAACACCTTTGCTCCACAGATCAGCTCTTACTGTGCCACATTGCTTGATAATGTAGCTATAATCTGAGTTGTCAAGATGCTTGGGTTCATGGGAGAATACCATCTTTGCACTCACTTCCAGAGTTGAAAATCTGCAATGCCAGAATTTTCTCAGATCTGCAAGTATCTTAAAGGGGACCTCCAATTTTAAACACTGGCCAATGTGTTTTGGGAATGTATCTTCTCTTTCTTGTTAGATAGAAAGTGAAATAAAAAACTCGTGATCAAGAACTCATAACATTTTTGTTCAGAGCTTTTTCAGAAATGTAGGTCAACCTGAATGTAACTATTCTGCCTTAAAAATAAAATCCAAATAAGACAGATTGCAAAATGTAACTTTTTTACCTTGTAAAATGCACCTGCACTAGCTATGCATTCTGGTTATTCTCTACATTGATTCATAATTTTTTTTTTGTGCTTTGAGTCCATTCTTGTTTGAATTGTTCCATTGCTAACAGCACTTATACTCATAATTTAAAAAAAACCAACCCATCTAACCAAACAGAAGAACAACACCAAAAAAAAAAACCCAAACAAAAACTCAAGCTTGTTTATCCTACAAGTTTTACAACATTCATAACACTGTATTGTTATGCTGGAAATTGTACCTTGTGTAGTTTTTATGTCAGACACACTAGAATGAAAAACATAATATAAATCTTTACCAGTGACCTTCAGAAATAGGGATTTATTGTCAGTCGTTGCCACTGGAATGCATAACCTGAGGGTCTCCAATGTATTTCCAACCAGGAAGAGTTTTCAAGCATGTTTTTAGTCAATTAAAACACCATCAAGACAAAAGTATGTGAAATCATAAGTAGCTGTACTATAAAAGGATTTTTTTTTTTTCTTTTAATAATGAAAAAACTCTTAGAACCACCAAGGAATCCTGTTCAACTCTGTAAGCTCTGGATTCATAGTACAGTAAATGTGGCTTTAAGATGCTTAAAGCCAGATAAGAAACACTGTAGCCACATGATATTAAATGCTGATCTGGTATAAATTCACTTTGCTAGTTCAAATATGTTAAAAAAATGGACACCTTAGATTTATCCTGTCAGGCTTTCTGCCAGATTAGGTATTGCCTGTCCGTGACATTCTAAGTTTATGCTGGATCAGGTGTTGTGTACTCTCCCGGTGATTCTGCATTGTGTTCTGTAATGTGGCAAATATACAGTACTGTTCCTTTTTGACTCATACTAAACTCACATACAGATCTGGATTAATGACCATGGCCTCCTGTTGCCCCCATCATCATAGTATCTGACTAAATCACAAACTTTGATGTATTTATTCTCCTAACTATGCTGTGAAGAAGAATATGTCTTTGCTATCACACTGATTTAATCATAACGTGTTTTCTCCCTGTCTAGTAGATGAAACAGTAGGGGTTATGCAGGCTCTGAGAATTTCAGTCCTTAAAACCAGGAGATTGTAACAGAGGTGAATATTTTCTTAGAGTGTCAAGTGCTCTGCTAGGGTTCTATGAGAGCTGTATCATGCAACTGGGTTATTTTATTTATCTAGTTATCCTATTATTTATAGGATATTTATATTTCCTTTTAGATGGTTTCTAGATGCTGCATTTTGCATAATTATCACAGTCCTTGATATAAAATATGGTTGTCTTCTGTAAGTTCAGGACCGATCCAAACCCCACTGAGGTCCTTGAGTGATTGGGGGTTTACAGAGCTGATGTATTAGCAAGTTTCTTGTCTCTGTGTTACTGTGTGGTCCCTTGTTTGCCCCTTTGAGTGGCTAATAACAGTAAAGTCCTACACCTTTGTGCAGAAGGGTAGACAGAGGAGATGGGGCTTGGCTGCTTCCTGCTACTTTATTCACCCTGGCATGGAGCTGTAACCGGTTCTCTGGCTCTCTGAGGAAGGCAAATGAGGCTGGCAATGTTACATTGTGATTTTTCTCTCAAATCTGCTGAAAAATGGCTGGAAAAATAAATTGTTAAAGCCAAAATTATCCCCTTTGATAAGCTGTCCTCATTCTGTCCTCCTCCAGAAAGAGCTGAAAACATTCCTGAGGCTTGAAGTTTTGTTACTGTTGTTTCACTTATAAATAAAGCTTTCAAATGAATCAAACGTGCTAAATACTTAATAGGCAAGAACAAGGCAAGTCCTTTGTCCTTGAGTGCTTACCATCTAACAAAGGAGGGAAAGGTGGAGCACAGAGCAACTGGAGAGTGATTCTGGTGCCTACAAGTAGCGTTTTGCTCCACACACTGCTCTGGTTCCCTCAGTGTGACCTCTGGCAGAACATCGTTTTACTAAGGGTGGGCTAAGGAGAGCTGTAACCAAACTGAGTGATAATCTTAAGCAGAAAATGCTTTAAAACCATGACTTTCCTTTTCAAATTTTATTTGGAGAATAGGTAAGTGAATAAAAAATATGTTTTGTTAATGCACTGCTGTGGAGAAATTGATATCTCAAAACCAAGATTGCATTGTGTGCATCTGTTCTGTAATACAAGAAGATACTTGGACGTTTTGAATCGGGAGGACTGAAGTAGTAGCCATTATGTCCTTTTCCATTATTATTCAGAAAGCAGTATATAATAATTTTTACCTGCTAGAAATGTAAATAAAACACTTTTGCATTCAAGACTTAGAAAGTGGAAAAGTATTAACTATCCACGTTCGTGGAAGAGGTGGCATCATGATTCTCTTTTCTGGCACTCTTTGTTCTGCCAGAGCTGATGAAAAGAGATTTTAATATATGTTTTTACTGTACCAGAAGCTTCTCTGAAACTCACATAGCCTTATCTTGTAATTAGATGTTTGAGAACTACTGGTATTTATATTTGCATGCAATTAACTTCTAAAGCACTGTGTACAGGGCTTTTTGCTTTTAAACCAGCCTGGAGTCAATAAATATTTTTACAGATGTCAGTTTGGTCAGCAGTGAAGAGGTAAATAGAAACTAATGACACTCATCAAGCCTGTGGCATGAATGATTTATTGGACACAATCATTTAACACTTCTATAAAGTCAATACAAGGGAAAGAAACAGGTTTCTTATTATGGTAAACTGTATTTGTACTGTCAGCATGTAGTGATTTATGACAAAACTGTGACCAGGATTAGGATATTATAAATGGGCAGAAAAATAGAAGGCTCATTAACTTTTTCATACCCACAGGTAGAAGACATGCAGTGGGCTAATAAAGAACACACTCATCCAGCATCTGTCTGCAGCCTGCCCTGTAAAGCTGGGGAAAGAAAGAAAACTGTGAAGGGAGTACCCTGCTGCTGGCACTGTGAGCGCTGTGAGGGGTACCATTACCAGGTGGATGAATTCAACTGTGAACTGTGCCCCATTAATAAGAGACCAAATGCCAACCGTACGGACTGCCAGCTTATACCTATAATCAAACTGGAGTGGCATTCTCCTTGGGCCATTGTGCCCGTCTTCATAGCTATTCTTGGTATAATTGCCACCACCTTCGTGATTGTGACATTTGTCCGGTACAACGACACACCAATCGTCAGGGCCTCTGGGCGGGAGCTCAGTTACGTGCTCTTGACTGGGATTTTTCTGTGTTACTCCATTACTTTTTTAATGATTGCATCTCCCGATACAGTGGTCTGCTCATTTCGAAGGATCTTTTTAGGACTTGGCATGTGTTTCAGCTACGCCGCCTTGCTTACCAAAACAAACAGGATTCACAGAATATTTGAACAAGGTAAAAAATCTGTCACAGCTCCCAAATTTATTAGTCCAGCTTCCCAGCTGGTGATCACTTTCAGCCTCATATCTGTGCAGCTTATTGGAGTCTTCATCTGGTTTGCTATTGATCCACCACATACCATTGTAGACTACGGAGAGCAGAGGACACTTGAACCAGAAAATGCCAGGGGAGTTCTCAAATGTGACATTTCAGATCTCTCTCTCATTTGTTCCCTTGGATACAGTATTCTCTTGATGGTCACATGCACTGTTTATGCTATTAAAACACGAGGGGTTCCAGAGACCTTCAACGAAGCAAAGCCCATTGGATTTACTATGTACACAACCTGCATAATTTGGTTAGCTTTTATTCCAATCTTTTTTGGTACGGCCCAATCAGCAGAGAAGGTAAGTTATGATAAGATTACAGATCAAATACTAGCCTTTTTCTACTCTCATCTTGCAATACTTATAGCACTACAACATTTTCACTCTTACACATTAATAATTCTGAATTATAATTGCAAACGAACTCAGAATTCACAGAAAATAAAAAACATGTTTCAAAAAGTAGGTTTCTTATACTTTTAACACAAGAAACTGAATGTGATTTTTGGTGTGACTGACATAATAATGTTGATATTTTCTCAATATATCCTTAAATGACTGTTTCTGCTAATGTTTATTATTACTCTTCAGCAATGCTCTAGCCTGTTACACAAAGCAGTATAAATCTTTATCATCCACAGATCTGATAGAGATGGTTGCATTTTAAAAGTCTGAGAAGATCAGCTTACATTTGTCAAAAATAATGAAGAAGAATACTTGGGCAGAATGGAAAGAATTACTTTTCTCCCTGGTTGACATATACAACATTTTAAAAAAAAAAAAAGCTTACCCCCCCCCCAAAAAAAAAACACCAAAAAACCAAACAAACAAACCAACTAAGAAAAAGAATAAAAAATAGGAAGAATGAATGAAGTGTATGTGAAATCATATAAAGCATAATTCACTAATTGTTGTCTCAGAGCAAAAGAAAACATTTTCCTGACATTTTAAATGAGAAATTAAATGTGGCGTATTTGGATATCTGTTATTCATTGTTCATAGCTGGCAAGGACCTTTCCTGTATCAGTTATGGCTAGCAGTACAAACACATTGACATTTAACTCTCCTTCTGTCAGCTGTAATGGGAAGGCAGAGGTAAATTTTGACTGTGTGAGATTTTATTCAGCTGGTGGTGGTGAAAATTAAAAGTTAGGAGGGAAAAGTAATACCAGCATCGATCTTCAGAACTGCTAATGTGGACATTTGAAAAATGTTAAAAATAAGAAATTAGTATCATCAGTTTTTACATAAACTCCCTTTTTCTTCTAGCATTTGTTTTAGAAAATATTTTAAAATACACAATTTAATTGGAAAAGTCAACATGCATCCACTTATAATTGTGCAAAGTTTTGGTGTGTCTCTGGTTTAGAGGGCACGCTTGCCTGCAGAATTGAAGAACATATCTGGATAGCTGATGAAATACTTCCTAATTCAAGCAGAGGAATTGTATGGGGGAGACAGTGTGGCAGAAAAATGTATTCCTGACTAAAAACTGAAGTAAGCAGGCCTGGTGAATTGGATCAGGCTTGATTTCCATGGCCTTTTGGCTTAAGTCAGAGGAAGTGAGAACCAAGGTAATGGCATACGATCGATACAGTAAATAAAGATAAAAAAATATCCTGTTTGATATAGGAAAAGATATTTAGGTTAATTTTATTTAAATTCTGTCTTTTTTTGTATGTGTAGGCTTAAGTCAGAAAAATACCTTTATATATAAATGTGTGGTACTTTTTGTTTTAACATCTTGAGCCAGTTTTATGGCAAATACCTACAACAAAAGAAATGTATTTCTGAGTATCGAAACACGGGCTGGCAATTATACAGTGGGTTTTAATTTACAGCATTGATCTACCTTAGCTTGCAGTAAAGGATAAACCGGTTTTGACCTCTAAAGACAAGATTAAGGAACTCTTCCTTTGCGTTTTTTTTATGAAACCCAAGACTGAACAAATCATACTCAATCACACAGCTTCTAACACTAAGTTTCACTTGTTGCCTTTTTTTCAAAATTACTTGTTATTCTTCATCTGATGCCTTTCAGGAGGAAATGTATATCTTATTGCACACATATGTATGTTCTCTAAATAAACTCAAAGTTGCTTGTAGATTTCTCAGTTAATGCATAGCACCAAAAGAAGCATTTTAAAACCAAACTAATACATTATAGATTCTTATTTGAAATTCAATGTTAAGAATTTTTGTGAGGATTAAAGAAATGAAAGAGAAGATAAACAGACTTTTGTTGGGTGCTTACTCACTTTGCAATTGATTTTAGAATCCTGAGATGATTTTTTTTTCTTTTTTCTTTTTTAATGGCTTGAGTTTGTTCAGAGAGAATGGGGAAATAAGCTGGGTAACTTACAGTACTATTAAAAATGAATGTTTCCTTTTTTGAAACGTTGACAGTAATAAAATTTAACATTTATTATAAGCCAGGTATGCTTCCAGCTTGCAGTTCATTGAGCTACTAGCTTTAGACACACTTCTGTTTGAATAAAGAGTAGTTAAAACTTTATATTTTGAAGAAATATCCCTCTCTCTCACTGGAAATTGTATTTTAAGAAAGTAGAAGCTTTTCATAATGTTTTCTCATTCTATATTTTTCCAACAGTAAATATTTCAGGAGCTAAACTCTTTCTAACTTTAATAATTTCCTAGGACTTGTGACCTAATCCTTAGCAGAAGTTAGGACTTTGTTATTCTGCTGTAGAGGCAGAGTGGAAAAAAAAAACATGAACAGTACAACTGAAATGCAGTTTTTTGCTTAATCTTCCTCTGCTCCTTTTCCCTCTCTGAGGGAAGCTCCTCACTCTTTGCTCGTTCCTAAAACAGCATGTTTCCCTCCAGCTGGTGAAGATAAATCATTTCAGTGCAGGTCATGGACATTGCTGGGTCCACTCACCAGCTGAACAAGTAATTGTTGCAGTAGCCCCACAAATCTGCTCTTCCCTCCCTAGCCTTCCATGAGCTGGTGCAAGAGGACAAAGGAGTGGTCATACTTCGCCAGTGTGGCTGAGTAAACTGCAAAAGATAACACTAATGAGAAACCAGTTAAATACAGAGATTCTCTTTTCTTTCAAAAGTCACATTGTGGGAACCTATTCCAAAAGTTTCTTAAGAGAAGCTTTCCTGTTCCCACTAGAATAACAAGTGAAAATTATGAAATAAGTTCATTAGCTAATAAATAAGCCACAAATGATGGATTGGGTCATTTAAATATTGTGGACATTTAGAAAGCGTTTTTTCAGTTTCAACCTTTTCTGCTTCTTTGAGTTTAAACTGAATTTCGGAAGCAGAGCAGTTTTGATATTGAAAGAGGATAATTTCACAACTTTTAAAGTGTTCCTGCTTTCTTAAACTGAAAAATTTCTTAACTGACTTTAAATGCCAGACTTGCATTTAAAATAACATTTATCAAAACATATCTGATCAACTTTCAGGCTAAGTACTGATTTTCTTAGAAAATAATTATACCATGGTATATTTTTATAATACATTAGATTACCTAAGAAATCAAAAGGGATTGCTGTTGTCAACCAAGTCAGTTTGTTGTGCAAATAAAGTTTGAGCTCTGTTCACTTAGATGCTTTTCAGGCCCATTTTGATAATTTAAAATCATAGCATTTTTTGTGGGGTAGTTATCTGCTCCCTTGTTTAGCTGTTTTGCTCCAGAAGTAAGTGATTATGGGAAAAAGAAGCAAGGGTCCTGAGTTCTTTTAAGTTGTTTTGAGATGAAATGCATCTGTAAAGGTTTGCTGAAACCCTTTTGGACTCAAGAAAAAAGGTCCATCTCATGAGGTCTGCTCATGACATGTAGGTGTGACCTGCCTGCTTAAAGTGTGTGAAAGTTAGGGGGAAAATTTCTTTCAGACTGTGCTACTCACTCAATGAAACCTTGTGGAGTGCTGAATACAGCTACTTTTTAAAATTCTAGCCTCTGTTTAGATTTTTTTTGTTATTCAACATAGTGTGTACCCAAGCTTCAGCATGTGTTCTTGCTGAATGAAGGAATTTGTGTAAAGCTAATGCATACATAATTTTAAAGACATACCTTTGTTGTTTTAAGATATGCCTACAGTCTTCAGGTTATAATTTCATTTCTATTTACCTTTATGTTAATTAAACCACTGGCATTTTAAGTATGTGTGATTTTAATTGTAAGTTTATTAGGAAGAGAGAGAATGCAAGCTTCTCTAAGAAAGAAGCAGATTATTTAATAAAATATAAAGCTTTTTTTTTAATTCAGTGAGATGCTCATGTGTGCACCTGAAGGTTGTAAACCCTGTTGTTTTCTTCATGGTTGCATGTCTGTTCCAATATGAGCATTGAGCTGGAGTACCTAGTTGTGTATATTGAAGAGATGTGCACCTGTCACATGTGGAAAACACCACCGTTTTGCTTGTCTGACATGTTTGCTTCTGGATCCATGATGACTGATGGCTTCTTACCCAAAGACAGGAAGGAGCTGCCAGAAAAATTAAATTAGTCTGTTACATGCTTCCTGCTCCATCGTGGGGAATATAAGAGAATTGGTAACATGTATATGAAGAAGGAATGTGTGCTGGAGAGCTTGAAATAGACCTTTCTTCTTACTTGCTGGTTTCTGTGACAAGTAATTCTAACTGAGAAGCAGAAACAATTTTGTGAAGCACAGATAGCTAAATAACTGCCATCTTCATCTACTTTAGAAAAGAATAGTCAATAATCACAGAGGGCAGTTTGTGAAAGACCACAAACGTTTCACAGAGATATTCGGGGAAAAAAAAACCCACAACAATCAAACCCCCCCAAAAAAACCAAAAGAAACCTTATCTACTGTATTTCTAGAAATCAGATTCACCTCACAAAATTGTTGATCTTTTCTCTCTGATTTGTTCAGTGTCAAAAATCTGGTTGTCTTCAACAAATGCAGTTAAAGAGAAATCCTTCCAGTTGTATTAGATGATCTTTGCATAGTACGAAAGAGATTGGTCTTTAGTATTAAGATACTATAAACTTTCACAATTGTGTTTCATCTGCAAGTATAACTGTGAGATGTGGTGCTCTATGTCATTATTATGCATGGGACAGCATCCAAGTCGCTGGTGATCTTGCATAAAAAGAAAAAGTAGATAATGCATCTTACAGTTTAATCATGACCTCAACTGCTTCATGCCGTGATGGTCAAGCACTGACAACTGATGCTTAGCTACACTTAATCTGAAAAGGACCACAGACAGTTTAACAGTTCATTAAAAGCAAGCATGCTTCTTTTGAACAATTGCAAAACTCTCTGTATGTGAAAAGAATGGACTTGGAAA